CCCCCCCCCCCCCCCCGCCGGGCCCCGGTCGCCGCCCGCTCAGCACCGAGAAAACGCCCCCCCGCCGGCCCGCCGAGGCCTCTACACGCCCGCTTCTTCACACCAAGTAGCAGGACTCGCCACCCGACCTGACGCAGAGCAGGTCTTCTGGGAAGCCCGCCCCACTGCGCCAGGGGGGCTTGGACCCAGGACCCCGGGCGCAGGACTGTACCTCTGCGCCGCAGCCTGTTCGCAGTGTCCCCGGGAAGCCCAGCCCCGCCGCGACACGAGGCCCGCAGCCCACTTCGCCTACCCGCCTAGGGAGACCCCGCAGGTCCCGTTCTCCCCCGATCCTCCCCTAATCCAGATCCGCCTTTCCGCCAATAAACCAGGACTACCGCACCTTTCCCCCCCAACAGTCCACCTTGACAGCCGGAAAAAAAAGCCACGGCAAATGGGAGGACGCCACAGACCGATGGACTCGCAAGGGCGACGACGGAGGTTGTGTGGAGCGGCTTTTCACTTCACCCCATTGGCTGCGGGGCTCTGCTGAACCTGCCCCTCCATTCGATTCAACCCTTCGTCGGAACGCCACCCTCGGCGCCCTTCACAGCCGCGCCCCCAAGCAGTCCTATCAGGCCGGCTGCCTTTGCTTTTTTCGAGGCTGTGAGAAGCCTCGAGCCACTTCCACACTCCCAATAAGCAGAAGCCACCCGGGGATGCTAACTGGAACCCGCCCAGCTCCCCGCCCCGCCGGCAAGTGCCAGCCGCCCGGCCTTGCCTCCGTACTCCCCAGGACGTCTTCCCCGTCATCTTCATACTCCCCCAAGAAACCGCGGGCTCGGGTAATTTCACCAGCGTCGCTCCGCTCCTGTGGCTCTCTTCCCCACGAACCAGCGGGCGCGCTTCTCTCTCCTTCCCTCCGCTTTCCAATCCCCACGTTATTCTCCTTCAGGACCGCACAGCAAGATGAAGCTTCCCGTCGCACCTTCGCCGCCACGTCCCTCCCTCAGTGGCCCGCCTCATTCTCCCTCCCCGCTCTCCTTCTCACCTCCCCGGCGGCTCAGAAAGGATCTAGGCTGATTGCAGCAGCTCGGGCTCCCACCCGAGGTCGCGCGGCGCCCCGGCGTTCTCTCACGCCCGCGCCATTTGAGTGGACGAGAGGGCACGCGAGAACTGGCAGGGAAATCGCCCTCCCCCGGCCTGCGGCCTTTCGCGACGTTGCCGTAAAGCAGCGGGCGCGCTCCGTTTTCACGGCTGCGGGCAGCGTCGGCCGTCGGTTTCGTCCTCGCCCTGGTTGTGTCGAGGATAGCGATGGCCGTGAGGAGCCGAGTGTTTCTGGGCTCCGCGGGCGGGCGCCCGTGCCTGGTCTCGAGCTGCTCCGGCTGCAGGTTTTTCTCGTCCTCAGCCCCCGGAGGCTCCTCGCACGCCGAAGACCCCAAGAGGGAGAGCGCGCCCTCGCCTCCCAAGAGAAAGGTAACGAGGAGGAAATAAGGGGGTAGGTAACCGGGTGCCTACCAAAGTTTCAGGCTTCCCTTCGCATCATCCCCAGCCGGCGTAGACGATGGGACGCGACTATGAGAGGGCATCGGGTTGCTTTCTGCTGTCGGAGAAGCGGTGGCTGGGTTCACATAGCACAAGATTTAACTATGATCTGATTAATTGCTTTTGTCTTTGAGTGTTCTGTAAATCCAGGCAATTGTGATTTATTCAACAAATCTTGTTAAGCAAATCACGATGTAACGCAATGAAGGAAGCTGCTTGGAATTACCTCTTATCCTGGACGAGGGACGGTGTATAACCTGTGCATTCTGGTATATTGCTTTTGGTTTTCTTTTTGTGAAATAAAAGAATCATATTGCACCTTTTGCTGATCCGAGATTCCTTTTTCATAAAAGAAGTGCCTTCCGTGCAACACAGCGTTTACTAGTTAGGCTGGCTTTAGTAATCAGTGCTCTGGTGACTGCTCACCTAGATTACAGCTTGGTATTGTATGTAGAACTGATCTTGAAGACAGCTTGGAAACTGTGACAGCAAGAGAACCGCCTGGGACTGAACATACACTTCATCATCATCGTGGTTTCAATCTGAGAAATTGATTTTAACTCCTAAATCCCTTCATATTTTGGGACTGCCTAAAGAATGCTTCTTCCTATATATTCCTACCCAGACCTTTAGATCATCCTGCCCCATGTTGAGGTTTGGCAAGAAATGACATGCAGCACATCTTCTCACTGTGGCATCTGTGGTGTCTGTGGCACGGTGGACATGGCATCATAATCTAAGCCCTGCCTTCTTTTGTACATGTGTGTATAAAGCAATGGAGCTTGCATCACAGCATCAACTCCAATATCTGGCTTGTTTTGACACCCTTCCCCACAAATGCCGCTGCCTCCTCAGTAGTGGCCCCCTTGATCTGGAATGCTGTTCCTGGTGAGGCATGTCTAGTACCTACTTCGTTATCTTTCAAGCTAGGAGTAAGATTCAATGACTATTTTGTTGCTTCCAACTCTGTGATTCTATTGTTAAAGTATTTTAACATTTATCTTCAAAAAAACTTTCGCATTTTTTTTTGCCATGTTAGGTTAGTCTTAATTTTAAATCATGATTTTAGAATATTACAAGTTGCCTGGAAAAACTATTTTGAAGGGCAGCTTATAAAATGATTTTAATATCCCCACAACTCCTCTGCAGTTAAAATTACAAACAGTTAAAATTACAATTACTTTGGCTTATCGGTCCTGCATTAACTTTACACCTTTGTGGTGTCCTCTTTTGTAGTTTATTTTCTTTTTTCCTACTGAGCTACTCCCTTATGGGCAGGTCAGTTTTTTCAGCTGAGGCCTTCAGGTTAAAAGAAGGAAATTTATAGTTTTGAAAATTATAATGGGGATGTTCAGTGATGCATGATGTCATGGGTTGGAACTGAACATTTGGGAGTGTGGGGGATTAAGGACAAACTAGAGATATTAAATCTTGTGGAGGCATATTACAACTATCACATCTGTTTTTCATCATGAAAAAAGGAAAATTTGAGCATCTTAAGTATGGAATTTGGGAAATTATGTGCATTCCATAGATTGCCAGTTTCAATTGTCTCTTTTACTTCTCTTTTTCTATGTTTTAATTTGCTGGCATTCTTTTATTTTTTTTAAATTATTTGTTCCGACCATTTCTTCATTCCACCACCACTGTCCTACGTGATGTGTGCTAAGCTACAAGATAGACATAAGACTGAATTTTGCTGAACGTTAGATGTAATTCTTTAAAATGTTGTCTAGACTTATCTCACCTTTATAATTGTTTGTATATCCTGCCTCTTTCATTTGGACAATATAATGTTGAAATAGTTTCTGATGCTTTGTATTATTAACCCCTCCCCCTCTTTTGTTAAGGTTTCAAGTTTTCACCCACCTTCAGATTCTTGCTGTGATTGGATTGGACCTCCTGATCAATGTTCAAACCTTCGACCAGTAATATTTTATGTTCCTAAACATGAATCTTCATTGGAACGAAGACTGAGAGAACTTAGGCAGGAAACCCAGGCTTGGAATCAAGAATTCTGGGCAAATCAAAATATATCATTTAGAAAGGTAGAAATGTAAAACCTGTTGGTGGCACTGGGGCTTTTTTTAATGATTGTAGGGAATTCTGCTTTGAGGCAACGCTATTGTTCAACTGTTTATATGTAATTCATCTTTTATATTTATTATGCTATTTTTAACAATAAATTTTTATTTCTAAATTTTTCCAATACAAATTATGAAGTCTTACTATAATAAACTTAAATCAACAGTTTATCATAACCTAGATCCAATGTATTTTTCTTTTGTAGGGGGAAGTATTGCTGTGCAAATATGTTAGTCTTAAGTAGGGTGCCCTCTCAGTTTAACAGTCACATCAAGATAAATAGACAGCTGTTGAATTTTCTGTTACAGAATTGCTTATTTACAAGATACAGTAGTCTCTAATTGTTTTGAAGATAATCTACCCCATCAGTTAAAATATTTGATGGAGTGGATTTTGCAGTCATAAACTCTTATGACTGATAATAATCGCTTATAAGATGATATCAATATATTAAGAACCACTGTATTATAATATTATTGAATCCTATTTCAGGAAAAAGAAGAATTTGTTTGTTCTAGACTGAAAGCCAAAGGTATACAGCCAAGAGATGAAAAAGGTTAGATCATTAGTTCTGCCATTCAGTACTGTATACATTCTTAGATGATTTAGATTACTTGTGGATTTTAAATCTTAGAATGTATTCTAGGTCAAATATTTATACTTTTGAGCAAAGAAACGGTGCATATATGAATATTTTCAATAAAGCCAAAACAAAGATGGCTTGGGGTATTATTTGGAATAGCTTTGCTAAAACTTTATATCCTTACCGTGTCTCTAATCCTCAAATTCCTTTAATAGTTTAAAACAGATGCTATTGCAGAAAAGGTATTTTTGGAATAAGAGTCTTCACTCCTTGGCAGTAAACTTACAAGATAGAGAGAGAACCCATGATAAGAAATAATATAATTAAAGTTTAGTTACAGAGAAGCCTAGAAGAAATCTGTAATTTTCTGTGAATTTGGAGTGATTCTTGGTGATAAAGGAAGAATTTTGTTTCTCCACTTAGTACTCTATTATTTGTTTAACCAGTTATTACTAATACTACTGCTTGTAATTCATATAGCATTTCTAATTTACAAGGTTCATACAGATCTTTAATGTGAACATCCTTAAAATAATATTATGAAGAAGATCACCTTTATATACTTCACAACTACTTTGTGGAGGGTTGTCTGTGCATAGAAGAGTGAGAGATACTATGTAACCAGAAATTCATAAATACGGATATCCTGGCTTCAGCTTCAGTTTGATATGAAACTTGTCATAATAAATAACAAAGAAAGTAACTGTTATGTTTAAGAAGTTTTCCTGATATGTAGATTGTGATTTTGTTTTCCTTTCAGGTCAGAAAGCATCACTGACTGCAGAAGAAATGGCTGAATTTTACAAAGATTTCTTAAGTAAAAACTTAAAAAAAAATGTATACTACAATAGGTGAGATATACTTTTCAGGATAGTTTTCTCTCCTTATTTTTCAAATCAGTTCTACCCTTCCCTTTTATTACTTTCTTTAAAACCAATTTATTTAATAATTTTTGGGAATCTGTTTCCAAATCACAAGCTGACTTTATACCTGTTTCTCTGTTGCCATCCACTCATTTACCAATCTGCATTGTTCTTTCTGTATTCCTAATCCTTCCCCATTGACTGTTTCTTCTGTCTTACTGATAATAGAAGGCCCTGAGGCAGATCCCTTGAAGCCTTAAAACACTTAATTGTATTCACTGAGATGTGCAGATAAATGTGCATAAAATTATAGATTTAGGCTGAAGTAATTTGCACACTTAGTTTACTTCCAGGTAAGATGATGCAATCCTGAATATATTGTACAAGTTCATTACATCATTAAGAATCTGGATTTTAATCATTATTTGCATACAGTATGGCTACATGAGGCACCATATTAAGACTAAAAAGATATAATCCTATCCACAGTTTTAATTTAATAGGACAAAGACTGGGAGCAATAAGAGTAGCATTAAATATTGAAGCAATATAATTTTCCTGGACATATTAGTATAGCATTTACTGTATTATAGCTCTGTACATAGTCGGAGGGAAATCCAGATGAACTTAAGTAAACATTTTTGAATACACGTAAGTATAGCTGCTCTTTTAGACGCAGTTATCCTATTTTAAAAAATACATTTCCAAGACAGCCAACAAAATGAAAAAGCAAAAAAACAGTAACTGTAGACAATATTTAAAGAGATAAAAATCTATCAGGAAAAAGTAATAAAATAATTTATCTGTATTAGCAAATATTAATACAGATAATATTCCTTTGTATTAATTTAATAAATGGTTAACATAGTGAAGTTATATGTGCTAGGGCTATGCAAGGCATTCAAAAGAGGACCCTAACTTTGACTTTTTGATGAATCTGTACAGAGTTAGAAACTCCTTTCAGAAATACTAGGATGTCTCTGAACCTAGTTCTTTTTTCACTGCATAATGAAAATATTCACTCATAATATCTCATTATAGTATTGCAGTTTATATAGGCTTTTTAAAAGAGACCTTTTCAAACTACAGCAGCATGTTAGGCTAAGTAAATAAATAAAAATTGGTCTGAAATCATGCAGCATATGTTTTTGCACATATACCACTTCGTGTAATGCAGAGTAGCATACTTTTCTGGAAAGGCACTTCCAACACTATAGATTTGTTAGGTTTTGCTTTAATTACACAAAGAGAAAGGAAGGTTTGTCTAAGTCTTTTACTCTTCTTTAATAATTATTTCAAGATGATGCTGTTCTTGCTGTGTTCCCTCGGTAGGGAATGGTACAAACGGAATTTTGCCATCACATTCCTCATGGGACAAGTAGCATTTGAAAAAGCTTGGAAGAAATTTGGACCGAAATGGATTGCAAACTAACCAGCAGCATTGTTGGGTAAAGTTGACTCTTAAATTGCAGCTTTGACGTTTAAAAACACAGCCGCCAAAACCTATGTTTCAGGGTGCACGCATGCAGAGTCATCAGCTACTATTTACATTTATAGCGTTATACTAATTTAAAGCTGACAAGTTTCTAAAAAATCACCCCGTCAGTTAAGTAGCAGCTTCTGCCGTTCTGTAGAAGAACATGCTTCTTTTGGGGGGGAGGTTTAAATTAAGTATATGTGCCAATTTCACTTAAGGCTTACTGAAAATAATCAGTATAATATCATATTGAAGGAAATGTCCTAATTTTCTTTTTAGATAAAATCCAGTTGTGTTTCTTGCATTAGCTTAGTGGCCCTGTGTATTAAGATAGTTATATTTTAAGCATGCCCAAGTTAATTAGTCTAATTTCTCTCTCTTCTCTCTCTTTTTAGTGTGTTAACCAAAGATGAAACTGAGAATTGATCTTCTGTCCTAAATTACATCAAAGCATTCTGGTGTATTTTTATACAGATTTAATTTATTTAATTTGTTCATTTATATACCAGATGCTCCCATCCAACAGCAATGGTTAACAAACAGAATCAATATATAACAGTCAGAAAACTATAAAATAACAAACAATAAACAATCATAACAGAACTGTCTAAAACCAATAACCAAACCCCCCAAATTGCAGCATCAGAACAATAAATCAAAAGACAATTAAAGAATGATTAGGCAACACAAGGATAAGGATGGAATAGTGAGGTAGACTGGGGGATCATCGTAGATATGATACCCATTCCTCCAACTTAGGATCATGCCCAGTGCTTCATCAAAATGTTAAACAACAGTGGAGAAAATGGCATTGAACTTTGTAAACATACACATTACACTTCATTCATAAAGTGTAATTTCAAATTTCCCCTTACTGAATCTAGTTGAATTGTTTTCCTTCCACTGCAGTTGCTCTTACTCTATCTCAATATCTGAATATAAAAATGATTAATATTACATACAAGAATGCTGCATATTTCAGGGACTTGATGCTCATAGAGCATCTTAATACTTAGTCATCTTGATTCTTTTGTTATGAAAGACTGGAAATTTGTTAATACTGTATCAACTATCAATAATCAAAATAAGGGATGTAATATTTTTCCATGGAACTCATCATGCGTATGGATACCAGCAATATAATGCGTGAACACGATACTGTAATTGCTTAATTTATGTCATGATTAACTGTGCAACGTTTGTAACCTAGGAATGGTCCTTCTAGTAAAGACTTTTGTTGCTGTGTATGAATTGCTGTGTCCTGCTTTACATCATTCAAAAAGTAGTGACCAAAATAAGGGTCTACTGTCTATACAGAATGTCTTGCTAAAAGGCTGAAGAGTGGATGCTAACAACACATGCTAAGATGAGGCAGGGGGAACATTTTGAGATGGACAGGTCCAAGGACCTGAGAAATAGAAATCCCAGACCTGCCCCACAAGACACCCCAGACGCCACCCTGCAACCTGCCTGGGCTGGTTCTGAGACAAGGAATCAGCTGGCTGCAGATGAACACCCATCAAAATATTTGTACTTAGGAGTGTTGGATCTGCAGCCTGGACCCCAGGGAAATACAGAGTGAAATGGGTTGGCAGCAAGATCCAGATGATCTGCTGCTTTACCAACATTGTCCAGTCTTTTTGCCTTTTCTACACATCATCAATTGCTAAATGACTGAAATATTTTAAGATGAGTTTGGAATTAATGCTGTATTTAATAGAATGTGAAGAACAATATGCTTCTCCAAATGGAGAATTTGGAGTATTTATTTTTTAATCTCATGAATGATGAAAGGAGCTATACTCAATGAGTATTATTCATTCTAGAAAAAGCTGATTCTTCTATAATGCAAAGTCATATTAATGGAATCTCTTTGTAAGATTTTAAAAATATTGTATTTTGTAAGATTTTAAAAATATTATTCTAAATGAAATAAAAAGGAAGTATAAATACAGACAACACTATTAGTGAAACAATATTAACTTCAAACTTAAAAAAAGGGGAAAATAATACCTCTGGTAGAAGTGCTCCCAGTGTGGCACATTGATCAATAAAAACAGATGGTTTAGAGACTGAAATTTACAATCTGAAAAAAAGATATAAGAAGGGGAAAAAAGGGATGGGATGATAAGAACGCTGTAGCATCAGTGCTTGATTTTATATAGATCTCCTTCCTTCCTTCCTTTGGTTGGGGAGAGGCAAAGTCTGATGAAGTGGCTTCTCAGGAGGACTGGTACGGTGGCTATTGCTTTCATCACTTTACAACAGATCATCTGTATTTGCCTATCTAATCTTAAAATAAATATTACCTTTATTCATCAACTGGCACATCCAGTAGATGCCTGTTTAATATACATGTGATAGATTGTGTTAATTTAATGGAAACAGCAGCCTCTGTCCCTCAGCTCAAAATATATATGGCATGTCTTACATATAATGATTTGCTCATGGCATTTGAGAAATTGACTCTCATTGATTTATTTTGAAAGCAGGCTCCCTGAGATTAGTTCCTGGCTGAATAGAAAGCCAGGAAGGATTTTGCATAGATCAGTACTGCTAATGGATTCAGACTTTGCATTCATTCCACATATGGAAAGGTTGCTTCTATTCATAGAAGGCATTTCCTCTAACAAAGGAAACAAGTAGGCAGGTGGAAGCAACTTCTGCTATCCATCCCATCCCCTGCAGCCACTAAGTATTCTAATAATTTGGTCTGGCTGATTTTATACCCCTCTGGAGCAGATTTTTAGAGGATGCTAGTGGCTCCAGCTCGAATAGGGGATTGGCTCACCTGCACATACATGCTGTATATGCGTGCACGCCTCCCCAAAGCAACCATTGGCCATAAGAAAAAGTCAGTACTGTACATGGCAATTTTTGTTGGACAAACTCAGTTACAGAACTGCTCATGAACTTAAGTTTCATGAACTTTTCACTGGCAAGTTGGTTTTTAAAAAAGACTTCATTTGTTTTTTGCCCCATTATTTTCCTTATTTTCTTTTTTTTTTCAATTGCCTGCTGCATAATTCTTGAATCTCCGAATCTTGCATTCTTTTGTAACCATGAGGTATTGTCCCAAATAGGTATTATTTAAGCAATTGTATTAGAACGGTGATTCATCAAAACTATGTTTGTGGCAGAAAGATAATTCTGATCTGAGCAGCTTCTGCATTATAATTACTGATACTGTATCATACATTCAGTTATACAGACTGCTGAATGGATTTTTCTGAACAATTCTGCAGCTGTCATAGTTCTCTTGTCCAAACCAAATGAAGGAAGTATAACTGACAATGACTCTCTATAGAAATAATAAATGTTTGTTTTCCAGTTGAGGTTAAATATTTCTTTAAAAATTGTCTGTCTAGTATTTTTCAGTAAGATTGTGTGTTCTATGAGGAAACAGTTTAGTAATGCTTATGTAGCTTATAATTCTACATGATGTTTAATCTGATTGGAAATGGTTATTACATTCCAAGCATGTATTTTATTTCCTGCTATTCATTGGATCTCTCCATCGAAGTGTTCGTTTCACTAGAATAAAAGAGGAGGATGAACGGGAATGAAGAGGCTGATTAAGGCTACATTAAAAGCTCTTATGGATGTCTCTGTGTGACTGCAACTGTCTATTACAGAATGAGTATTTAATAAACCAGAGTATTTTTAATCATGTAAAAAATGAAGGGTGCCTTCATAACTTATTATTGTCAGTGTTTTAATTGACACTGTTTAATTCTATTATTGTTTTAGTATTTCAATTTTTACATTACCAGCATCCCCACTTCCAATTTCTAACCCATTGGATGTCTCATTTCCAAATAAAAAAAGAATATCTGAAAAGGATCGTTCATGACCATTCTGTACCCATTTCTCCCAATTTCCTGCTACTAAGTGAGACAGCACAGATGTCATTTGGCCTCAGATATCACTTTGTTGAGCCTGGAATTGAATCTAGAAGAAAATTGCTCTATGAATCCAACTGGTTTTGGTATGGAAATTGTACTCTGCACCATTAATAATAATGGTGGTGTGATCCATAGAGATTCTAAAGTGTATAGTTCGCTTACTTATCCACAAGTGCAGTGTGCACCAAGTGCAGTTTTTTTTTAATTGATTTGAGTCAGACGGTACATCAGTACTGTTCTGAAAAATCAGCAGAATTGTGAGATGACCGTCTTATAGATCAGTGTTTCTCAAACCTGGCAACTTCAAGTTGTGTGGACTTCAACCCCCAGAATCCCCCAGCCAGCCATGCTAGCTGGGGAATTCTGGGAGTTGAAGTCCACACATCTTGAAGTTGCTATTCCAAGTTTGAGAAACACCGTTGGATGCTGCTGTCCAGTCATGCCATGAAATCTTATTACTGGAATGTTTTTTTATGGCATGTGTTTCAAGCTACACATCTGATATTAGTATAGTGGAATTTTTAGAGTGAAGATACCTTGAATATAGAGGGGTCATAGTGTTAGTTTATCTATTCCATCAAAATCAGTAAAATCAAATTTAAAGACTAACAAAATTCTTACAGCATAAGCATTTGTAAATTATATCCTCTGTGGATTCTAATAACAGGCATTGTTCCAATTTGCTAGTTTTTTTAACATACACATATTGCTTAAAAATAAAATGACTCTGACTTTAAATAACCCCCACCAGAAGGAAGATTAAATAGACGAAAGATTATAAATATACAAAAATAATGTGCAATACCTAGCTTTTTCATCTTGTTACTAAACCCAATTCCTAAAGATGTCACCTTTTCTAGTAAATGTGTGTGATAAACTTGTAAATGTCTGCCTGTATATAGGAGCGTAAGTACTTTTATGCAGTGTCCAGAGGTCACAATCCCAAAAAATGACAGGGGCAGGACAAAAAAAAAAAATAGTTCAATAATAATTATTAAAATGTATTGCCTGCAAAACAGGGTACTACATTTGTAAAATTAATTGATTCCCATACGTGATGAAAAAGTCATCTCGTACCCAGACTCTCAGACATTTCCACTCACAACATATACACAAATAGACAGGTTCACTGAAAAAGATGCTCAGCAAGCATAATTCTATGCTTACTCTCTAGTAAATCCCACTGAATTCAGTGGCTCTTACTCCCAGGTAATTATGGATAGGTTACTGGTATGTAATGTTTCCTTATGCTAGATTTATTATTTTTTTTGGCAATATGATTTAAAAAAAAAACAGCACTCAGTATCAACTATGCATGTGTGTGTGTAATGTGTATAGTACAATACCTGTATTGTTTTAAAGAATGTCTGGAAACTTCTCTCAACATGCTCAGTTGGCCTAAAGGTGAAGACGTCTTTCATCTTGCAAATACATGAACACAATTACATAATTTTATTGGGAAAAATACAAAATTATTTTGCTGCAGCCTTCATCCAGGATTTTTTGTTTGTTTTACTTTCCAATCTAGTTTACAGTCCTGGCAGTCTCCTATCCAAGTAGTAACTAGACTTGACCCTGCTTAGTTTCTGAGCCACAGCCAAAGTTGACTTAGTGCTGTCATCTGCTGAGTAATCTACCCTAGAATCAAAAATAAAAATAGTCCATGTAATCCTGAGATTACAAGATTTTCTTGCATAAACCCTGTATACAGAGTAAGCCCAAAGCAGATGAAGCCCAGGAGAAATACATTGTCTCTGCCTTACAAAATGTGATTTCTTCCAGAAGAGAATTCATACCAGTTATAGCCACTAGCCGACAACAGTGGTCTGTTTAGCATATCTTTATTGAATTATTTGAAAAGTACTTCATTATACATCTCTACCAAAATCAGAAGTATCACTAATTATATATTAAGTGTACGTTCAGACAAAATATATTAAATCCTAGCAGTCATTTCCTGACCTCAATGTTTTTCTTGGACTACCTAGAAGGACAAATAATTTGAGCCAGTATTTCCTTCCTGTTTTGGAGGCTGAGTTAGTTATCTTCTCTTTCAGGCAGAGGTAAGGCGTTTTGCCATGCACATGACAGAAAGCATAAACCAAATTCCTCCACGTTTTGCTGTGACAAGTTATTTCCTTGCCCTCTCCCCTATTTGTTGGATCGTTCATAATAACTGTTGTATTTCTGAACGTCATTATTGGCATTCACAAATAAAGGTGAGTAAATTGTACAAGAACAGGAATAACAGAACAGTGTATCAGAGAAGGTTAACTGTTATGTCTCGTACTTGCCATACAGAATAAGAACTGTAAGTCATAGGTTTCCCTGAAAAGAGTATC